ATCTGACATTAATTCCGGGAGACCAAAAGTCTCACCCTGGTCCACCAGTAAGAGTGGCACTTACGGAAGTCAGATGAGCAACGGGTCTATTGGGGTTTAGCTTAGGTCCATTTCATAGTGAGTCCAATGGATTTTGAGCCACTGTGGTTATTTCTACACTTATGGAATGCATAATTGTAATAGACTTCCTCAGTAGCTAGCAGAAAACCTACACTAGTTCTCTGACCTGTGCAGTGAGGCCAATTATGGCTGCACTTGATAAAGGCCAAGTGTAAGCATGTAGATATTCTTCTATCTGGGAAAATAGTAAGGTAAAAGCAGTAATAGGTTCCTGAGAGAATGCAAAGAGATTAGTGCCACCATCAAGAATTTAAAAGGTGTTGGGGCACCTAGGTGGCTCAGAGGGTTAAGCCTCTGCCTTCGACTTGGGTCATGGTCTCAGGGTCTTGGGATCAAGCCCCGCATCAGGCTCTCTGCTCAGCAGAGAGCCTGCTTCCCACCCTCTCTCTGCCTGCGTCTCTGCCTACTTGTGATCTCTCTCTCTCTCTCTCTCTGTCAAACAAATAAATAAAATGTTTAAAAAAAAAGAATTTAAAAGGTGCAAGGGTGGTGATTCCCATCACACCCCTGTTCATCTCACTTACTTCACCTGTGTAAGAAACAAGTGGATCTTGGAGAATGACTGTAGATTATTATAAACATAAGCAGGTGGTGACTCCAACTGCAACTGTTGTACCAGATGTGATTTGGTTGCTTTGGAAAATTAACACATCCTCTGATAGCTGGTGTATACATATTGATCTGGCAAGTGCTTTTTCTCCTTATCTCTTAGTAAAGACCACTAGAAGAAGTTTGCTTTCAGCTGGCAAGGACAGAAGTACACCTCCACTGCCCTATCTCAGGAACAGATCTGTTCTCTAGTCCTGTATGTCATAGTTCCCAGGGATCTTGATTACCTTTCCCTTTCTTAAGACATCACACTGGTCCATTATATTGATGACATTATGCTGATTGAATCAAGGGAATAAGAGGTAGCAACTACCTACTCCAGACTTATCCATAAGACATTTATGTGTCACAGTGGGGAAAATGAGTCCAACGAAAATTCTACCTTACTGAAATTTCTAGAGGTCCAGTGGTGTGGGGAATGCCAAAATAATCCCTTCTGAGGAGGAGGAGAAGGTGTTGCATCTGGCCCCTCCTATAGCCCAAAGAGGTACAATGCCTAATTGACCTCTTTGGACTTTGGAGACAATATATTTCTCATTTTGGTGTGCACCCTGGCTCATTTTACTAAGACTAGTTTTGAGTGAGGCCCAGAATAAGAGAAAGCTCTACAACACATCCAGGCTGCTGTGCAAGTTGCTCTGCCACTTGGACCATATGGTCCAGTGGATGCGGTGGCAGTGGCAGCTAGGGATGATGCTTGAAGCCTGTGACAGGCCCCTACAAGTGAATCTCAGCTCAGGCCGTGGGCTTTTAGAACAAAGACCTGCCAGTCTCTGTGTATAACTACTCTTGTTTTAAGGAACAGTTTTTGCCTTGCTGTGGCATATTTGTAGAGACTGAACACTTAACCACAGACCACCAAACTGGAAAGTAGAGCGTGCACAGCAGTATTCCATCATCAAATGGAAGTGGTATATACAAGATTGTGTTTGGGCAGGCCTTGAAGGCAGGAGCAAGTTAGATGAAGGAGGCAAAATGTCCACGGTCCCCATTCCTCCTACATTACCTATTCTCTTCCAGCCTGCATCTGTGGCCTCGTGAGGGGTTCCCTATAATTAGTTAACCAAGGAAGAGAAAACTAGAATGTGGTTTACAGATGGTTCTGCACCATATGGAGACACCACCTATAAGTAGACAGCAGCAACACTACAGCCTTTTTGGAGGGGACATCCTTGAAAGACAGTGATGAAGGGAAATCTTTCCAAATGGTAGAACTTTTAGCAATATACTTGGTTGTCCATTTTGCTTAGGTGCAATGGGCAGAGGTACAAATCTGTACCAATTCAGGGACTGTGGCCAATGGCTTTGCTGGATGGTCAGTGACTTGGAAGGAACATGATTGGAAGGTTAGTTATAAGGAGGTCTGAGGAAGAGGTGTGTAGATAGACCTCTGAATGGGCAAAAACCATGAACATATTTGTGTGAGCGAATGTCATTGAAAGGTGACTTAAGGAGAGAATTTTAATAATCAGGTGGATAGAATGATGCATTCTGTGCATACCAGTCAGTCTCTTTCTCAGCCAATCCTATCGTTACCCATTGGATTCATGAACAAAGTGGAAATGCTGGTGGGAATAGAAGTTATGAATAAAGAGGCTCAGCAACTTGAACTTCTAGTCACCAAGGCTGATCTTGTTATGGTCACTGCTGAGTGTCCAGTTTGCCCACTACAGATCTCAGCACTGAGGCCCCAACATGACACCGCTTCCCGGGGTGTTCAGCCAATACCTGATGACAGGTTGATTACACTTTTTTCAGTGCTTTTTTCAGTGCTTTTCTTACAGAATAGATACTATATGGATTTGCCTTACCAGCATGTAGTACTTCTACCAAATCTGCCATCCATAGACACGCAGAATGCCTTATCTAACATCATGGTAGTCCACACAGCATTCTTCTGTCCAAGGAGCTCACCTTAAGGCAAATGGTTTTGGAAGTGGGCACATGCTTATGGAATTCACTGGTCTCAACATATTCCTCATCCTTCTGAAGCAGCTGGCTTGATAGGGCAGTGAAATGGCTTTTTGAGGACTCTTACAGTGCCAGCTAGGTGGCAGCACCTCAGAGGGCTGGAAGCTTGTATATGCTCCAGATTAGCACCCAGTATACATTGCGATTTCTGCCATAGCCAGGATTCAGGGAGTGGTATGACTCACTGAGACCTCTAGTGATCCAGTAGCAAAGTTTTGCTTCCTGTGTCTGTGACCTTATGCTCTGCTAGTCTTGTGGTCTTAGTGGCTGTCTTCAGTAATTTTGTTTGGCTTTGATGTGGTCTTTCCATCCACAAACTTGGTCTTCTTTGATGGGTAGCAGATCAGGGACTTACTTGTGGACCATGAAGTCTAGAAGAATTGCTGCATTATACAGAACAAATTATTAGCCACTTTGAGTAAGGGTTTCTCCTCTGAAAAGAATGAATAATGTACTTCATTCAAAAGATTGTTTTGAAGTTCAGATGGGTGATATACGCAGAGCAGATACATGTTGCCTGGACTTGGAGTGCATGTTTGCATTAAATTCTACAGTTGTCTCTCCTCTTAGGGGAACATTTCTTCTTTTATGATTGCTTAAGTTCTTTCTTTCCTGCTGTGTATTCCATAGTTTGCTTCTGAAATTCCCTTTGTGTATTTTCTTTATATGCTCTGTACGCTTTAACATTTTAATATTGTCATCATGTTTTTTGTCTTTTTTCCTGAGTTATGGGAAAATTCCTTGAGCCAATTTTCTAAATCACTGACATTTTTTCCATTCACTTCTCACTTTAGAAGTTTTAATTGAGTGATTGTGGTTTTTATTTGAAAGCAAGCTGTTATTATTTTAGATAGTTTAATTTTCACACATTTAACCTCCCTTTTAAAAATAAAAAATGCTTTCTGCTATAAAGTAGTATATGTTCACTATAAAAATTTTAGATTATAAATAGCCACTATGAACATTTTGGTGAATACTTGCCAGGTTTATTATTATATGTTTATATATGATGTATTTGTATATATGTCTCTATATATGTACATACATACATAATGAAAGATCTCACTGTAATACTTTTGTTACCTCCTTTATAATTTAATAATATAACATGTCAGTAACCATAGATGTATGTTATTCTTTTAAATAATAATATTCTTTCAGATTTTGTTTTAAATAAATATAGGAGTTTTTAAAATATTCTTCCCTCTTATAGAAAGGAAAACATTTGCTATGATTTTTAAAAATTGTCTCTTTTTGTGAGGAACTGGCTATCTTTATATATCTAGTGATTGTATTTCCAATTTGTTCATATTTACAAGGGGAAGTTTACGTTTGCTGTGTTGGAATCTGAGAAGAGTTCTGTCAGAAACTATGTAAGGCCCTGTTTAGTTATCTTGGACATAACCCGTTGGCCAGATAAGTGGTCCACAAGACCCTTGAGCAGTAAGGAGGGGCTACTGGTGAGACTGCTGCATGGTAGGGGAGGTCCATCCTTTGCTGAGGGCATTTATTGTCTATGTGGAAGCTGTGGTCAAGCCAGAGATCCAGCTGTCTATGTAAAATGATAAAAGAGCTCTGGGCCAAGTGATATTTATGAGTAGGCCAAGTAGTGGGCTTCTTCTTTCATATTTGTTGCAAGAGTCCGTGTTAGGTGAGTTCCATGTTACTTGGACCAAGTCCCTTCATAGCACCATTTTGCCACAATATCTTTGCTTTGATTAGCATGCTGCTTCACCCAGTGAATGGTGAGGATGTTGTCTGCCATGTACTTGGGGCATTGGTAGAACTCCATTAATCCTTGGGTTTGCAACTGACCAACTGACCAACTATCATAGTCTTTTTTTTTTTTTTTTTTTTTTTTTTTTTTTGCTGGCCCTTACGGCTCTGGGCTTGCAGGTTCTCTGGATTCATAGGAGAATGGCATTCACTTACTCCCTCAGAGGGCTCCTCCTTTGCTGTGTTCATTTGCAGACTAATATGTAACTCCCTTGGTCTAATCCTACCTGTGCCATACCTAACAGAAATCTCCCAAAGTGTCTGGACACTGATGGCATCTATCTCTGTTTAGGAGAAGCAGATAAAAACAAAAAACTTTCCTCATTGTGTATTTTGTAGGTCATGCTAATAGGTTTGGGGGAGGGGGGAGAATTTAAAGTCATGGACTCATATAACTCCTACATCATCTTGTCTCCTGGTCAAAGAGAGAAATGGATTTACCAGTATGAAATACATTCATGAGTCCGGGTGTATTGTATCTCCTACTTTTCCTTTATCTACAGATATTTCTGTTTTTATGATAGATGATTCAACACGTGTTCCTCTTGGAGAAAACAAGGACTACATCAATGCTAGCTATATTAGAATAGTCAATTCTGGAGAAGAGTATTTTTATATTGCTTCTCAAGGACCACTGCCAAGTACCACAGATGACTTTTGGCAAATGGTTCTAGAGAATAACTCTAATGTTATTGTCATGATAACCAGAGAGATAGAAAGTGGAATTATCAAATGCCACCATTACTGGCCCATTTCTATGAAGAAGCCCATGGAATTGAAAAACTGTCGCATCTTCCTGGAGAACTATCAGATACTTCAATATTTCATCATCCGAATACTTCAAGTTGTGAAGAAGTCTGTAAGTTTAAAAAAAAAATCAGTAGGAGAGATATTAAGATAAGTCACCTGTCAGGATGAGAAGTTAGGATTAGGATGTGTTAAAGACTGGGAATACTTTTTTGAGTAACTTGTTTTTAATGCTCCCTGATACCAGAAACTAAGACACCACTGTGTCTGCTTCTTAACCAAACTGACTGGAGAGATGAAAAACCTAAACAGGGGAGGTGGGGCAGGGAGCAACAGTATTGGAAGTTGCCTAATCCTGGGATGTCCTTTGGCTGCTTCTGTTGAGTGTGACAGAGATGTATGGAGTCTTTAAGGTATATTTTAACCGCTGTGCCAGATACAATCACCGCTGTACTGATTATTGGAGACTTGGGTATGCTTACTGATATTTTCAGTTAATGAGGGATGCTTTGAGGGCCTGGAAGGGAAGTACGTAGCTTCGTGTACGGCTTGGGGGAAGGTTTGCTGGAGGAGGGAACATATGGATTGAGAACTACTCAAATGAAAAAGATGGAAAGAAAAAGTAGGTAATCAAGATCTAAAATAGCATGGGGTATATATAGAGAATTGCAGGTAATTAGGTGTTTCAGGAAGGTAAAAGTTTAATGCCAAGGAATAATGAGAGGTGAGATGAGGCTATAGAAAGTAAGCAGGGAGCAGTCAGAACATGAAATATCTTGGATGTTGGCTAAGGAGCACAAACTTCTTTATGAAGATAATTAGGAGACATTGAAGAATTTCAATAAGCAGGTGCCATGATCAGTCAGGGCGGTTGGTATTGAGATGGAAAGCAGATACTTTGGTGTTTTTTTCATATCAGATTCGCTGACTTATATGTGGCTTATGACTCGTGACTTTTTTTTATGAGCAGTCAAAATTAAGCTATCCAATACAATAGCTACCTGTGGCTATTTAAGCTTAAATTTAATTCAGTGTCTCACTTACAGTAGCCATATTTGTAGTGTTTAGTTACATGTCACTAGTGGCTATCATATTGGGCAGCACAGATTTAGAACATTTGCATCATTGTAGAAAGTTCTGTTGGGACGTGATGATTTCTAAAATCTAAAACTCATAAATTTCTTGCTTTAATAGATTCAAAAAATAGAAAAGGAATGGTTTATAGGAGAAAGTGATGAGTTCCATTGCTCTAAGTGGATTTAATTAGCAAGTAGGTGATACATGTGTTTGAGAGGAATGAAGGGGATGGTAGTTAAACAGGAAGTCTGATAAGAGTGATGAGTCATCACCAAAGAAGTTGATTGGAGTCCAAGAAATAACTAAGAAAAAGGTTGCTGGAAGTGCTGGAGTTGGAACCCATAAATTTTCAATAGCAATAAAATATATACCTACACGATTATTTTCTTCCCAGCAGCCTAACTATGGGATTCCTGAGCACAGGTTATGGAACTGACCCAGATGTTGTCCACTACGTGTGGTAAGATTCAAAGGATGAAGGGTGTTAACGGTTTGGTAGGAACATGATTCAGATAATCAGCCATGAAGTCTAAATTTAGGGCGACAAATGGAACCAGGAGGCAGTCAAGTAAGAGTAAGTGGAGGACATAAAGGACAGAGGAACTCCATTTGGTCACATTGTTGTTGGAGTAGAAGTGAGGCACAAATGAGGTGGTAGCAGATGATCTTCTGGTCAGAAAGTGATGTTGGAGTTTATAAACTGGAAAATTTTGATTCTGGACTTTATAGGTAATGATAAGTTCAGGGAGTGACCATCACTGTGAGGACTGGAAGAAACGAGTAGTCTCCTTTGCAAGAGAGAAATATAAATGCTATGAGGTTAGAGTGTCCGTTGGGCTGTTGAGACTTCAGGTTTGCCCTGGATGATGTCAGAGCCTGTGGGAGAGGGAAGGTCAGGGTTTTCAGTGAATGTGGCAGATGGACTGGAGGCTAAAGCCACTGGGTCATAGCAATGAGAGGGTGAAGGTATGAAGCTAAGGGGTATGAGACTCAAAAGGGAGTGGGGTTTTTCACAAGAAGAAATGGTGGATTGGAAACAGCCAACAGATTGGCAGCAAGGAGTACCCAACCTAATCTTTATGCTCTGTGGGACCTGGAGACGGGAGAATAGGTGGCCTCCATGGCGGGGTTGGGGTGGGGGAGAGGCTGCAGAGAAAGAAGTGCTGTGGGAGGCAAGGAAGGAAATGGAGGAAGCATCTAGGGAAATGACGAGGATTTCAAAGAGTTTACTATGAGATATGGGGCATCTGTGTGCAAGGGGAGAGGTTGACAAGTTAAAGGAGTAGGGTGGGAGGGAAAGATGGAATTGAAAATTATGAGGAGGATCTGCGCATAGGTGGTAACCAGAGGGGCCAAGAACAATGGCTGACACTTGCTGGTTGTGTGCTAGCCCTTGCGCTTGGTTGTGCACCTGGGAACTCACCTCAGCCCTCAGTCCCCCAGGACTTGTTGATTCCCTCCCATGTTAACCAGGTGTTGTGCCAGGTGCCAGAGACAGAACACACACACAGTCTCAGCTCTTAGAGTGCTTATGGTCTAGTGGGAAAGGAAGTTCCAGCTGACTTGTGAGGCACATATTATGGCAGAAGAAAGACAGCCTGCTTGAAGAGTATAGGCAGGTGGGAGGCACAGAGGAATGATCTGTTTGCAAGGACGAAAAATCTAGGGTCCGCCTGTGGAGCCTTGGCAAGGGGTTGGTGGCCTTTGGGCTGAGGCCCACAGGCTTCAGAAGCACGGGGTTCATGTTTGAAGAATCTGCATCGGGATTTCTGTCTGAATGGTATTAGGTCAGGAAAGTGGTGAGGACTACCTTTATGCACATTCTTAGTGGTCACCAGTGGCAGAAGAGATTTAAGCCCTGAAACACGCATGGTAGGGTTAGAGCTGTCCTCAACTTGGTGCCTTCGCAAGCTTTGCAAGGGGTGTTGGCATCATTCAATTTCATGTACCAGTGTGTCAAACTTGAGTTTTCTATTTGGGACTTAGGGAAATTTATTCCTGTTTGGAATGCAGGAAAAATGGGTGCATTAGGGAGAAGCAGGGGAGGAGCAAGAGACCCATTCTGAGTTTTCCCACAAGGGTTCCCAGTGAAGTAAAATGAGGGCTTCACACTGGGAAAGGCTCCCACTTTGGAAGGGATGATGGGTAAACTCAAAGTGCTTTATCTGTCCACTCTGAGGAGTTTCATGACTGTGTTTCTAGGGGGCTCAGCACAAAAGTGGGGGCACAGTCCACTCACTCGGTCATCACCTACCCTGTCCTCATCAGCAGAAGAGGTTAGGGCCCTGCCGGTCAAGCAACTTGGCAGCGCCTACGTTTAAATTTAGTATCATAATATTTAAGCTAAGATAGAACGCTTTCATTAATGCGCTAGCCCATCTTTCGCTCTGAGTTTCTCGGGTTCTTGGTGTTTCTGCAGTACCATGGTCCAGAACAAAGATAGTAGATCTGAATTCAGGAGGCCTGCAGTATAGTCCCAGCTCTAAACATGTGAGCTTTCTGACCTAACATGTGTCTCCCAATCACCCTAATCCTTACTTTTTCATCTGTAAGATGGGGATGAAACAGTCCCTACCTCCCAGAGCTGGCATGAGGATTATTTGAAAGAACGCATGTGAAGTCTCTAGCATACCCGGCACATCGCGAGTGCTTAAATCGTGCTACCTCTTCGTAGTGTGATTTTCATTATTGTATGACCACAGAGCCTTTAGTAGTAGTAGTGGTAGTAATAGTAGTAGTAGTAGTAGTATATTAGAAATTCAATTTAGATCTTTAATATAAGAAGTTGATAAATCTCTCTCTTCCCCTCCCTTCTCCCTCCCTCCCTCCTTCTCTGTCCCCTTTTCTCCCTCCCCTTCTCTCTCCACAGACAGGAAGTAGTCACTTTGTAAAACACTTGCAGTTCACCAGCTGGCCAGACCATGGCACTCCTGCCTCGGTAGATGGCTTCATAAAGTATGTGCGTTATGTGAGGAAGAGCCACCTTACAGGACCTATCGTTGTTCACTGCAGTGCTGGTGTGGGCCGGACGGGTGTGTTCCTCTGTGTGGATGTTGTGTTCTGTGCCATTGAAAAGAGCTCTCCAGTAAGTGTGTGAATTAAACAGATAACTGATGCTGTTAGTAAACATTCTACTTGTAAAAGCCTTCTAGTACCTAGAGACTAAGATTGGGCCTTCAGGAGAACTCAGTAAAGAGAAAGCCTGTGAACTTTGGGGACCTGCTTCTCAATTCAGTGCCGCAGGTTCCCAGAGGTGGCTGTGATGATGACAGTACAGAAAGCACATGAAGGACATGGGACAGTGTTGGGACCACGGTAGAGGCACAGTGAATGTGACTTAATTTCTCTTTCCTCCCCTCTTCCCACACCTAAGGTTTTTAAATCTTGTTCAAGAATGTTGATGAAGTATATGCCTGTTCCTAATGAACAGAAATGCACGCACATGAGCGCATTAGAAAAAATGTGGACTTCAGGGTTTTAATGAGAGGTCCCTAGCTTGGACTGCCAGTTTTGCCTCATACTTTAGATTTTGGTGACATTGTGCACATATCTCATCCTCTTGGAAACCCAGTTTTCTCTTATGTAAAATAAGGATAATAATATTGTTGGGTTTGAGTCCGTCATTAATAATTCTTTGCTTTCCTTCTGAATTTGGAACCAGCTGAGAGATAGACCCAAGAATTAGACACATATTAATTATCCTATTACCTCTACTGTTGATTAAACTGCTTAGGGAATGTGACCTGAGATTTGTGGCCAGAAAGGCTGACTCACTGAACTGTTTTTCTGGCACTGGGGAAGTGCAAAGGGCCTGTTTATGAGCAGGCCCTGAGGTGGGAAGTCGGGGGAGTGGCTCTTACCACCAGGACCACAAGGAATGGAAAACAACCATACCTCTGGCATGAGAAAGCGGGCTACCAGGCATTTGCCCTGCCAGACAAATTCTGCAGTTAGATGATTGTCACAAAAACGAAATCTCAGTTCCATCAGGCCTTCCCTACCTAGTTAAACCCTGACTGTGGGAGGCTCTCCCTTGGCAGCAGAATGGCTGTTTTGGTTCCAGAACTCACCATCCTCAGGCCATATTATTTGGGAGGGTGGGAAAACGGCCTCTCCCCATAACTCCTTGGAGGACAGAGGAAATTTCTTTTTGTCAGAAACTTGAGCCGGTATCTCCCAGCATTTCAGCTGCTTCCGAGTTGTAGCCCCTTGCCTGACCTAACCGCTGTGGGAGATGCTGATCGGTTTGGGCCTGTCAGGACTACTCCAGACTGTAAGGCTGAGAGTGAGAGGGGAATGGTTTTTCAAAGCAAACTCAGAGAATGAATATAAACTAGACAGTCCCCTCCAGTCTCCCCCCAACAAAAAAAGACCAATGTGCTAAAAAAAAATGCTGAAAATTTAAGTAGTATAATTCTGATATTACCCATTCCCATAACTAATGTTGTTTGATCCTTTTAGCAGAAATTTGTTAGTATGATTTTCTTTTATATATTTCCCATTATAATTTCTTAAATAATTGGTTTATGTTTGTCCTCATTTTATTTCCTTGTAGAAACTGTAAAACCTGTAAATATTATACTTCATGATCCTAAGGAGCACTGTCTTCTCCCACATTTTATCTTCTTTAAACTCAAAATGTGTTTTATAATGAGTCAAGTTTAATTGACAGTGTTTTTCTTAGTGGTACATAAAATAATGATACATTTTGCAATTAAAGATGCTTAGATTTGAGAGAGTAATTCAAAAATAGAAAACGCATCCATTGTTTCCCTATTGGCTTTCCACAGAACCTTGAACCGTCACATGGTCTTACTGATACTCCTTTCTACTCTTTTCAGAAATTTTGTCCAGATGTTCCTAGAAATTGAGAGTAAGCATTTAGAAACTTCAAAGCAGTTTGCTGTATTGCTGTGACATCCAAGAGTGTGACCAGTGAGGGGGACTGTTCTTAGTGAACAGGGTGTAGACCAGTTTGTGTGTTGTGGGACTCACACGCAGCGTCGTACGTGCAGCAAGCTACGCACGAGCTGTGTGAGGCTGCACACTTGTGACCTGCAACGTCGTGAGATGCCTTGATCAATTATAACTCTAAAGGATATGAAAAGCTGAGAATATGTAACCATTTATTTCTTTTTTAATTGTTACTTTTATAGTCATTTGCATTTTTAATCACACCTGCTTAAAAATCCGTAAAATGTTGGGAGGAAACGGGCTCTTACCTTGCAGAAACACTGAGATTGCTCTGTAGTTGGAACATTCTCGATCGACCTTTCTCCTCTAACAGTCTTAGTTATTGTATTATCACATAATGAAGTGAATAATCCAGAATTTAGCACATTAGCCTTTTCATAATGAAAAATTCTTACAACACCACTGTGCACCCTGTCCAGTTTACCCTGCAGGGGTTTGTGTTTTTGTTTGTTTTTGTTTCTGTTCTTCGTAGTAAGAGTCTCTTGATGAAGCAGTGTGATTTATCTCTGGGTACCAGTTTCCTGATCTGTGTAATACCTCAGATGGCTTTCTTACCCTTGCAGCTCTGCGACCAGAACATAAACCTACGCAAAGCTCAAGCTCCAAATCACATCAGGTTACAGTGTAATACTTTGCATTTCTGCACAGTTTAGAGCTAGTTGTCAGTAATCCAACGGAAAAAAGGAAGAATTCTTCCTTCTTAACACTTCATGTTCAAATAACACGCATGCTGAAAGAATCACCGTTAGCCACATCCCCGTATCCATTAAGCTGCAGTGCCTAACGCCTTGATATTTGCATTTGCTTCATAAGTTGGTACCACTGCATACCATTAGCCCATCCCTGAATTTGTCAAGCTGTCATGTCATTAGAAAATGGTACTTTCTGTGGGCCTCTCCTCGTGCACCTGCCAGAGGAGCACACAGCCCTGAACCATTGCCTGACCTCCTTGTGGGCTGTGAGCACTGAAGGGGCCTGTGCAGTGTAGGGGGAGAAAAAGAAAAGAAAAGAAGATGGTACTTTAACTGTCCTTTTTGCCACATATTTACCCCAAATTTCCAAAACATCTTCAATAGCCATTCTTCATTGTCCTGGTAATTGTGTATGGGTTTTTAATCTTAGCAATTCAAAGCGCTATTTTGTGAGTCTGCAGAACATTAATGTTACAAGTGAAAAATAATGAACATCAGCTTCTGTTTTTTAAATGTAATATTCTTTTAAATAATTCTTTTTTCTTTGAACAAAAGACATGTGTTCAAAGGAACTTTTGAACTTATTTCTTTTTTTTGAAAATGAAAAATACATTTTAATAGTTTGTTTGCTTTGTTAGCCAGTACATCGTTGCAATTAAGACAGGTGTGGTTTAAGCATTCAGTCAATAATGGCTATGAGATTCAACATAAGGAATTATAGTTCCAAGTAAAATGAACATGAACTCTTTCTGCCTTCATATCTTTGCAGTTACCCCCATTATCATCATTTGGTTAACCACTAAAGCTGCATTCAGAAAGCTGTGTTTTTCTAGATGAGGCAGTGCAGTGAAACTTGTTTTACCATCATTAAATTAAGATTAAAAAGGAATAATATAAATTCATTTCCATAAATTGTCTAATCTTAATTACAAATTTAAAAATAGGCTTTCAGTAACAGTTTTTAAATTCAGTGAGATTTCATTTTGTTATATTTCCTCGTATGGATCATACTTTTGGTTTTGAGTCTAAGAACTCCTTACCTAGCCTAGGTCCCAAATAACTTTTGCTATATTGTTTTCTCAATGTTCTGTGTTTTATGTTTAACATTTAAGTCCATAATCCATTTTCAGTTAATTTTTGTATAAGGTATGAGGTTTAAGTTAAGGTTTACTTTTCCTTTCTTTATTTTTTTTTAAATTTTTTGCCTATGTTTGCCTTTTTGCCTAATTATGTCTAATTTTCTAACACTATTTGTTGAAAAAGCTGTTCTTCCTCTCTACCAAATTGTTTTGCACCTTCATCAAAAATCACTGGGCATGTTTGTGTGGGCCATTTTCTGGTTATATATTCTGTTCCATTGGTCTGTGTGTCTATCCTTTTACCAATACTAATCTATAGATTCCTGTATCTATATAGTAAGTTTTAACATCAGGAAGAATGATTCCTTTATTCTTTTTCAAAATTGTTTTAACTCTTACAGAGTCTGTGCTTTCCCACATAGGTTTTAGAATTAGCTTGTCTACGTCTACAAAAAAGCTTGCAGGATTTGGTAGGAATTTCTTTAAAGCTGTAGATCAATTTGGGGAGAACATCATGACATCTTTGCTATGTTGAATCCTCCAGTTCATGAACATGGCATGTCTTTTCATTTATTTAGGTCTTCTTTAATTTCTTTCATCAGCATTTTCTCATTTTCAGCATTTATATCCTATATGTGTTTTTTTAGATTTCCTCTTCGGAGCAATTATAAATGGATTGTGTTTTTTACTATCAGCTTCCACATGTGCATTGTTAGCATGTAGAAATGTGATTGTTTTTGTGTGCTGATCTTCTGTGCTGTGATTTCGTTGAACTCACTAAATCTAAGAGGGTTTTGGGGGGAGGTTCTGTTTTGTTCTGTTTTTAGATTCCTTGGGATTTTCTACATAGACAATCATTCTAGTTACAGATAGGGACAGATTTTTCTCTTCCTTTCCAACGTGCATGCCTCTTGTTTCTTTTTCTGGCCTTGTGAAGCTACCTAAAACTTTAAGTATTAGATTGAATAATACATGTGGTGAGAGTGAACATTCTTGCCATTACTAATATTAGGGGGAAAGCAAATTAAAACAATTTGTTTTGTGAAAGACCCCATGAAGAGAATGAAAAGACAAGCTACGGATTTGGGGAAACTGCAAATAACATATCCAACAAAGATTTTACATTTAGAATTTAGAAAGCATCCTCAAAACTCAGTAGTAAAGAACAGAAACCAAAAAAGGAGCCAGTTAGAAAATTGGTAAAAGATATGAACAGAAATTTCACCAAAGAGGATAAAAAGGTGACAAATTACCACATTTAAAAGATGTTCAGCTTCATTAGCTTTTAGGGAAATGAAATTAAAACTATGATGAAATATCACTAGACATCTATCAGAAAGACAAATATAAAAAATGACACCACCAAGGGCTGGTTGAAGAAACGAGTTGAAGAAAGAGTTGAAGAAATGAGATTAACCATTTGTTGCTTGTGGGAATATAAAATGGTATACCCATTCTAGAAAATAGTTTTAACATTTTTTCTTTTCTTTCCTTTCCTTTCCTTTCCTTTCCTTTCCTTTCCTCTCTTTTACTTTTCTTTGAGAGACAGCACAAGCTTAGTGTGGGGGGAGGGGCAGAGGGAGAGAGAGAATATTAAGCAGGCTCCACATTCATTGCAGTCCCCAACACAGGCCTTGGTTTCATGACCCTGAGATCATGACCTAAGCCAAAATAAAGAGCCACATTCTTGACTGACTGAGCCACCCAGGTGCCCCTGCAATTTCTTTAAAACAAACAAAAAAGAAACTAAACTAAATTTACCATATAACTCCAGCAATAGCACTCTTGGGTGTTTGTCCCAGAGAAATGAAAACCTACCTTCATACAAAAGCCTGTATGTAAATGTTCACGGTAGATCTGTTCATAATAGCCCAAAACTGGAATTAACCTAGATGTCCTTCCACAAGCTGATGATTCAACAAACCGGTATATATCCATACCATCCAATACTACTAAACAATAAAAAGGAGTGAACTATTGATAGGCACAATTTGGATATATCTCAAAGCAATTATGCTGAATGAAAAAAGGTCTCAAAAAGTTAGATATCATGTGATTCCACTCAAATAATCTTGTTGAAGTAACAGAACAGTCAATAGGGAGAACAGATGACTGGTTGCCAAGGGTTAGGAACGGAGCTGGATGAGCAGTTCTTTTTTTTTTTTTTATTTTTTTTATTTATTTATTTATTTATTTTTTTTTAAAGATTTTATTTATTCATTTGACAGAGAGATCACAAGTAGGCAGAGAGGCAGGCAGAGAGAGAGGAGGAAGCAGGCTTCCCGCTGAGCAGAGAGCCCGATGCGAGGCCCGATCCCAGGACCCTGAGATCATGACCTGAGCCGAAGGCAGCGGCTTAACCCACTGAGCCACCCAGGCGCCCCTGGATGAGCAGTTCTAATGGATGACAGGAGAAAGTCCTGTGGTGGAACCGTTTTGTATCTTGATTGTGGTTGCAGTTACCGGAGTCTTCACATGGGATAATATTGCACAAAAATACACAAACGCATCACACAATCGCACAAATGATTGCCTGAAAAAAATGGCAAAATCTGAATAGGCTCCGAGGATCATACCAAAGTCGGTTTCTGGGTTTTGCTATTATTCTATATGCATATAGGATGGCATAATTGGGGGAGATTGGGTGAAGGGCACATAGGATCTCCATGTACCTTTTTTTTCTAACTTACTGTATATCTCTAATTCTAGTATAAAATTTTTAATGGCTCAATTAAAATTTTAAATTATCATAAAAACAAAAAGTTATAAATATAAAGGAATGGTTACATTTTCATCTATTTGGGGTTTATAGTTAGCAAACCTTAAAATTTCATGTTTTGTTGTGGTCTTGCTGAACATGACTGGTCCTGAGCTTACACCACTTGACTCTCCAGGCAAGTTGAGCAGCACCTGAGCTGGTCTGTAACCTGTTCTGCTGGTGATGCTCCTTGATGCTGCTGTCAGATTGCCAGAAGAGTTTCTAAACACTTAACTACCAGTTTCTGGGCTCATCTTATTGTGGAATAGCAACAGTTTCTTGCAGACCTGCATCAGCTCAGCAACCATGTTGGGTACGCTGGTCTCCATTGCACAGGTGCAGACTCTGGTGTCTGGCCAACTGTTGCTCAGGGTCTCCATTTGAGCCGAGAAGGCTCTTTAGATGAGAAACAGCTGTGTTACTAAAGGGCCAGAAAAAGTATCCTGTGCTTCAGACTTTTCCAGAATCACAGTGCTGCTTTAAGTTTTCCCTCTGGAGAACAGAAAAGTGGACATGGGCAAATTTGTTGTTATTTCTTTTGGAGAGCATTTCTTATTGTAAATGATTGCTTCCTGCTTTTCCCAGGAAACCCCTTTAACCTAAAGTCTTCCTTACCCATTAGACTAGGTTAAAAATAGTATGTTTTCTTATAGCTGAAAATGAGAACTTTCTGGTTAAATTTTGACATCTCTTTAACTGGGAAGAATTATGGAGTACTCATTTGGCAGTCTGTGGGTTTGTGTTTTCCCCCAAGTGAATAATACAAAATCACTGTCATCCTGTTGCAGTTCAACATCAAGAATATAGTGACCCAAATGAGAGAACAGCGTTACGGCATGATTCAAACAAAGGTAAGCTCTCACTACATAAATTCTAACAAAAAGAATAATGAACATAAAGATTAACATGTATAGCATGTTACAATTTGTAAATCTCTTTTACCTACTTGATGTTATTGAATTCTCACTGTTTGGGGTAGACATGAATTTTTCTCTGTTATTACCGATGAAGTACTTCACCTTCAGAATAATGAAGTCTGTTCTGTGAGGTCGTTCATATAGCACGTGGAGGAGCCAGGCAGGAAACTGGTGTCCTGATGTCCAAACACATGCCTTGTCCATCCATGATGCCATGTTATTTAAGTAACATATCTAAAGTTATTCATAGGTTTCTGGATGACAGTTTCGGGATATTTACTTGCCACTAAATTATCAAAGTCATTGGCATGTCATAAAGGGATAGCATTGATGTTACAGATTAGTTATTAATCATTTGGGAGGGGGAATCAAGAGAGTATGGGTAATGAAAAGCAGCAACCCCTAAATCTTTAAGTTGACCTGTTCTTAGGCCAGTGTTAAATGATAGGAAGCATTTTACTTGAAGTTGGATTGCCTGAGAGACCTGAGGCTACACCTAAAGAAAAAAAAAAGTTTAAATGTGATGTATCCAGGGAGATATAAGGAGATGGAGGTTGAGGGTAAGTTTCCACTCTGTTCAGTTAAGCCTTGAGTTAACCAGTTCTAGACCAAGCACTGTATTATGATCATTTTTCTTCCTGATAGTTAAAAAAATAATATATTTTCATAAAGAAGTTCCTGGCTAAATATTTGCTCTTTTTAGGAACCTTCCTTTATGGTTGAAAATTACAACTATGTTTTCTGAAAGTGGATAGTGGTATTCAGCTACTTACCATCCTGTTATTTTTCATATGTATGTACATAGGAGCAGTATTTCTTTTGTTATAAAGTTGTGCTTGAAGTTCTTCAGAAGCTTCTGACTTTAGATTAAGAAAGACTTCTGTTGCCTCAAATTTCAAATTATCAAGTGGCTTGGAGTCTTCTCACAAAGAACACGTTCTGGCTGTGCCGACGGGCTTTGCTTACGGGTACCATGTGCTTTCTTGGTGTATCATTTGACTTTTTTTCTGACAACTCCCTGAAGGCAGCATCATTTGGTTTGGGGTGAACAGTGTTTATCCATTAATCTTACTTAGATAATATCAAAATATACTCCCACATTTTCCCGTGAAACAAAAGTTACATAAAACAACTGCAGCCTATTTGGTTGACGGGATCACAGAGCCCAGTAATGGACTTAAACTGTACTCATTAAGATTTCATTTGCACAGGCAGCTAAAGGGAGCTGAGGATTTCCAGGACCTTATAAAGCCCTTACCTTATTCTGGAGAATACAGGGCCAGTAAATGCAAGATCACATCATGAGCTCTTAGAGGCCTTTTCAGGACAGTTACTTAACCCATGTTTTTTTTTGTTTTGTTTTGTTTTTTTGTTTTTTTTGTTTTTTTGTTTTTTTTTTAGCTAGAGTCTGTATTTTTAGCTGGTATTTGAATAACTCAATTCACTAATTAGGATGAATTAAACTTCCATACAAATTGGATTCCATTTTCTTATAGTTCCACACTCTCGGGGGGGCCCAGGGACCTCAGAGGTCAAGCTGCCTTTCTAGAGCAGCTGCATAGGGACCTGTTGGTTTGGGAAGTATTTCATGGGTGGGCAGAGTTCCCCTGCTCCATCACATGAGCACACTGGTGAACAGTCCAAAACTAAAATAGATGTTTATATAGAAAGTCCAAGAGGAGATTTTTGTCCGGCTTGAGCTCCTTCCTATCCCACCCTAACACTTAACATATTACTCAGTCTGCTTTGTTAAAAGCACATATTATATTTTACTTGCCTCTTAGTCTTTGCCCTTTAGCTAACCAATAAACTTTGATATAAGCATTATTATATAAGGCTGTGTATCTCTTACGCCAGATATATTTCTCAAACTAAGATCTTATGATAGTCATTTTTTTCTTCAGAGTTCCATTAAATCATTTCTTTCCATTACTGCCCCACCTCTGCTGTAACATTTAAAAGTTGGCTTTGGGAACTAGGTTTTGGAAAACCAAATTCATAGTTGTGAAAGGAAAACTTCCATATTCTCTTTTTGAAAAGATGTGGCCATTATTATATCCATCTTATTATAGGGCTTTGCCTCATACTATTACAGTGATATTTTGGTCAAGGAATTTTAGTGACCAGTTATGATTATAAGCTATTTAGCAATTGCTACATGTGTTTGTACAGTGTAATTCAGTGGAGATCGGAATATTCTATGTATTATATGGAGAAAATTTCTAATATTAATGTAAATCTTGAATTTATAAGAGGCTTACTTTATTCCCTTGGCTGAATGAATATTTGAATTTGTTGAATTAAATTTGATAATTTTCATTTTAGAAATAATTATATTCCAGAAATGTATTTTATATTAAATCAAATTGATGATTCTACCTATTTACATTATTCATATAAATAATAGTCTGTGCTAAACATTAATTTCATTTTGATGATTGGCTCTTAATATTTGTATCCCTAATTTTATTTTCTCTCTGTTATTGTAAAATAATAGATATGATGTACAACAGTATTCATGAGAAGGTTCTTCGCTGTTACTTAAATGAAAAGACGTACTTTGTATTGCCTGAAGTATTTTTATTATCTAGGCCTTGAAATGTTCTTGTAAAGAAAAATGCCACAATTTTGATGGTAAACATGTTTCTTCTTTAATGTATGCCTCCTATTTTTATAGCTGGACTAATTTTTAGTTTTTCAAAGAAATTAAATAAGTCAATATGGAAATACTGATTGCACTTGTTTTATTTCATTTTTGGAAAGTGAATTCCAAATTGAAAACTTTTGACTAATTGAAATACTAAGTTTCCTACCAACAAAAAAAATCAATCTTAGCCTAGGATATGAATATGAAACTCCCACTGACACCTTTGTAAGTATATGAATGCTTATTTAGAGGAAAGTTTAAATCATTTAGATAAAAGCATATATGCATTTATTAACGTTCAACTTTAAATACATATATTTAAACTTGCATTGCGCTTGATGGACTTACATGTTGGACCAAAGCTTTTCAGAAATAAATATTGTAGGTTTTATTCTCATAGAAGTCTTGGTAATTTATTTTTTCTTGGGCTTTTTACCCTGAATCTATCTAAAACATTATTGAATTTTCTTTTTTTTTAATATTAAATTTTATTTTTTATAAACATATAATATATTTTTATCCCCAGGGGTACAGGTCTGTGAATTGCCAGGTTTACACATTTCACAGCACTCACTATAGCACATACCCTCCCCAATGTCCATAACCCCACCCCCCCTCTCCCAACCCCCCTCCCCCCATCAACCCTCAGTTTGTTTTGTGAGATTAAGAGTCACTTATGGTTTGTCTCCCTCCCAATCCCATCTTGTTTCATTTACTCTTCTCCTACCCCCTTAACCCCATATGTTGCATCTCCTCTCCCTCATATCAGGGAGATCATATGATAGTTGTCTTTCTCTGATTGACTTATTTCGCTCAGCATAATACCCTCTAGTTCCATCCACGTCATCGCAAATGGCAAGATTTCATATCTTTTGATGGCTGCATAGTATTCCATTGTATATATATACCACATCTTCTTTATCCAAGATTTAGTTTTCTTATATGTTGTCTTGATCCAGAAGATTTGGAAAGTATTCACTAAGGAGTGAATTCATTAAGTAGGTCAGTGGCACTCAGTGGGGGTGAAGGACCACTCCATGGAGTACTCCCTTTGTCTACAGCTATAATCAAAAAGCAGGAAGTAAGGACCTCATCATGCAACAATTTGAATTACAAGGAACCTTAAAACATACCTAATGTAACTACCATATCTGAAACCTGAACATGACAAAGAACTTTTAATAGCAACATCATATTGGGAGGTGAAAAATTAGAGCCTTCCCGTTAGCAAAACAGTAACTCCTGTTAGCACTATAGCCTTGCTCTAGAGTTATCTAGCCAATGCAGAAAGACTACAAAAGGAAATAACTGGTATAAATATATTGGAAAGTTAGAACAAAATGATCTTTTGTTTGTATATTTGTCCACATAGAAATAATAGATGCAATTAAAATATAGTATTAGAAAAATCTGTATCTTCAATAGGAAAAATGCCTCTGAGCAACAGGGAGATGTAAAAATCTATAAAATACTTAAGATTTAACTTACCAAAAACTTGACCCACTGATTCTCGCATTCTAAATGAACAGTAAATACAAGAAAAGAACCAAGATATTTTTGAAAAAGAAGAGGTTAACTAAAGTGAATTTAAATAAAACATTTTTAAAAAGAAAAAGTAAATGTAATTGTGGAGAAGAGAGATTGTTTGCCTTAGCAATAATTAAAGTATTATCTAAAGTCACAGTTAATACAAACAATGTGATTCTGGATCAGGGCTATACAAATGGATCAATGGAATGAAATAGTCAAGAAGGAGACTCCACAGACTCATATGTTTATGAATTTATTGTATGCTAAATTTAGCATTTCAAATCCAGAGCTTCAAAATTTATGAAGCAAAAACTGATAGAACTGATAAAAATGGAAAGATAGACAAGTCCACTATTGTGTTTGGAGATTTCACCAGTCCTCTCTTAGTAATTGGTAGAATAAGTAGACAGACAAATCAGTAAGGATATAAAAGATTTGAATAACATTATAAACCATTTTGACCCAATAGACATTTCTAGAACACTGCACCAAAGTACAGCAGAATACAAATTTTTCACGTGTATATGGGACATTCACCAAGAGTGATTATACTTTGGGTCATAAAATAAGTCTCAATATAATTCATAGGAATGGAACTATATAAGTATGTTTATGGAATTAACTAGAACTCAATAATATAAAGATATTTCTAAAATCCCCAAATATTTAGAAATTAAACAGCATACTTCTAAATAACTTGTAGCCAAAGGAAAAAAATCACAAGAGAAATTAGAAAATATTTTGAAATAAATGAAGATAAAAACATAATGCCTGGGATGCAGTGACAAAATATTTGGAAAGAATCATGGGCTTAGTTGGGACTGTGCTGAATTTGTCATGCTTATGGGACCTCCAAGTGCCTCTATAAGCCTGGGATGAAGACCTAGATCTGGAGGAATATTTGCCTTGAAGTCAGTGCTTGAAAATATGGAGTGGATGAGCTCCCCCACAAAGAAGGTGAGATGGAGGCCAAGGGCAGAGTCCTGGAGAATGTCAACATTCATTCCTACCTTGACTGCCCTTCATGGGTCAGCCTAAAAGCCACCTCTTTCATGAAGCCCATGCAGCCTCCTAATACTCATCTTTCCTTCCTCTGACTCCTTCATCAGCGCTTCTCAAACTCTTTGGTGAAGGACCCATTTTATTTACAAACAGATGGATCCCAAAACAGCCAAAACACCCATCAGATATTTATTGGAAAATGTGGTGGGCTAATTTGAGGACAGCAGCTGAAGTTAGCTGATTGTCCACTTAAAAAGTGAGTAAGTCCAAGGAGGTAAAGCCTACAAGGGTTGGAACAATCTAGCTTTTATCTACTCTACTTTCATCTACTTTAAAAGCTGATGAGCTCAGACTCCTTTCTGGAACCATGTTCCTCACTGAGGAGAAACTGCAGAATCAAAATTGAGCAAAACAGGTGAAGAAAGGAGAAGGTCCATGTAGAAGTGAACAAGGGAAGCAGAAGCAGAAAACTTTGGAAGGTGAGTTTGGTGAAGTTACCAGAGCTACCTGAACAAACTGCTTAAAAGTTCAGGGAAATTAAATTCGCATAAAAATAACTAAAAGAAAAGTATCATGATTGAACCCTATATGAGCTACTACAAGGGGGAAGAAAATGCTAGCAAACTCAATAGTATCCCTACAGACAATGAAGTTACACCAGACATGATCAAAAAACAGATCAAAACCGTAAC